CCTTGCACAGCCTCTGGGGCAGTTTCAACCAGCACACCAAAGCAAGGGAGAGCACGTCAGACCAGCCGGCCCCTCCGCTCCCAGCCAACAAGAGCAACAGGAGAAGCCGATCGGCTTTGCTTTTCTAAGCACAGGTGACTGACTGATAAACTGCATTACCAGCACCATGCTGCCGCTCCAGAAAGAGTGATGGCATTCAGACAGCCTGCCAGGGAAAAGACTCCGTTTCCCAATTCCTCCCATGCACGGCAGACAAGCGTAGGTCAAAAATAAGTGTAGCTTATACTGTGCCAAACCACCACTGGGAAGCTTGTGATTGCCCCCAGATTTGTTTGGGAGGTCTGCTCAGTCTCAGTGTAAAGCCTGCGGCTGGCACCACTGCGGGCTGCCGAGCCAGGGTCCACGGTGGGCTCTGGCAGGAGCTGCCTGTACGCTGCCTGAGGGAGGAAAGCAAATGTATTAATCACCCACACGTGCGCAACTTGAGCCTGTGTGGTGTTTCTGGGAATATTATAATTTCAGCACATCCAGGAAAATGCCAGACAGTGTTTTCCTTTTACTTTAAGCTTATTCACAAACAGAACATGTAAAATATTTTGTTCTTACAAAACAGGCGACAGAAGCTTCAATCAAATTATTAAGAAAAAGTTTTAAGTTGTACTTCCAATTAACTCCGATGAGACAAGAGTCAGACCAACAGAGTCAGTGTGTCTTCACAGGGAGGCAAATGAGCGCTGCTTAGGCTGACTCTGACCGAAACGCAATCTGGACTGAAACAAAACAGCATGATGGAAATAAATGACCATTTTTAGGGGTTATGGGCCAGTGCCCCGAAGTCCAATGGGTTCTGCTCTGTGCTGCAAGTACAGCTGCAGGTGCAGGCTGAGGTGTTTACAAACCCACCCGGGAAGGGAACTCACTGCTGACTTCAGGACAGGCTGGCAGAGTAGAGGTGTTTACAGAAGACAGCTTGTCAGGGAGACAGATGTGGCAAATGAAAATTTATGAAAATGCAAAGTGGTGGGACGGGGGGGAGAGCGAGTGGCTGGAAGGAAGTCCCACAGAAGCATGTCCCAGCCCTGCCACCGCCGCAGTGCACATGTACATGCAAAGCAGGAAGCCATTCACGCGATTCTTCTCTCCCCAGATGTCTCTGGTTTTAGTGCTGTAATGTTGGCAGGTGCCTCTGGCTCCCTAATTGGTGTCAGACTCCCCATGTGGGAGATGCTGCCGGTGCACAGAGGCTCAGCTCAGTCCAAGGGGTTATGGCATGGGAGAGTTTCCAAGCCACAAAGGGCAGTGCCCAGGGCTTGACTTGCACCTCCGGCCTGCAGCAATTGGGCACCCAGCTGCTGTTGTGGCTTTGAAATCTGCCCTGTGTGAACACCAAGAGCTGTTGGAGTAGGAAATAATTTGCTACTAAAGTTTAGGAGGGAAAGGGAAAAATCTCCTGTTTCAGGGCTGATGCCAACGCTTCATCATGAGAGATCAGGAGGAAGCTTTCACGGGGGGGAAGGGGCAGGTTATCGAGTCACTGCTCATTGCATATCATTTTCTGCTCTCCCCTGCAGCTCTGCTGCAGAAAACATGCTAGCCAAGTGGTGTGCGCCTTCGACTTTTGCCAGGAACTCCCCATACAAGCTAAGCAAACAAAAACCTTAGTAGGTTGACAGGTTTTACTTATACCCTACAACAGACTGTCTGCAAGTGATGGCTGAGACCCTGCAGGAAGGAGTAGTGGTCAACAGCAATTTTGGTGCTTCACGGCAAGATGGAAGTGCAGAGCAGCTGCTGCTGCTCTCCTAAGGGCTGCCGGTGGCCAGAGAGCTCCAGAGATCTCTCTGGTATAGCCGAGATGGCATGACCACAGATAGCACCGAAATAAGGGTCCCCACAAAGCCTGCAGTTTCCCTGGGTGCTCACTGCTGCCTTCCCTGCAGCACCTAACGGGAGAAGGAGGAGCAGCGACCTGCTCCCACCTCCGCTCCCCACAGGGCAGGCTCCCACCCCACCGCGCTGGCACCATGGCACCGTAACCACTCGCACTGTACCCCAGGACAATACCAAACGGCTGAACGACCGCTGGCCTTGCAGCTTTCTGAGCCGTGCCTTGTATAAAGGGCTTTCCCTTCTGCATAGCTAATCCTCACTATCCAGGCATTAAAACCAGCGTAACTCCCATGCTAATTCTGCTTTCAATAGAAATTATGTCTTTCTCTAAAAGCTTAAATTACAGGTTTACTGCCTCCGTATATTAGAAAAGACCCAGAATTAAATCCTTCACTTTCAGAGTAAAACCAGGACCTACTGCAGGAAACAGGTTGCTCGATGCAACAGGGCAATTTGCAGGGAGCAGCCACTGTGTTCATGATCTCAGCCAGAAAGGCTCTCGTAAGCAGAGATCATCCAAAAAGCAGGGCAGCCATGATTAAATACTGTTTTCTGCATCACTGGGAACTACAAAGCAAGAGAGTAGGATCGCACACACGCTCACACAAAACCACCCTAGTTCCTTAGCTGAGCACAGGTCAAAGGAGGATGAGAGACACAGGGCTTGAGTTGATTTAAGTTAAAAAAACAAACAAAACAAACCACTGCAGAACTGACTCAGCTGTCAACACATCACTGAAAACATTCTGGTTTTGATTTTAAAGAAGTCCTCCAACAGAGGATGGAGTCACAAAATCTGGTTTGTAAACATAATTTACGAGGACCATTGCAGTCCTTGCTGTTGCCTTTTTGCTATGAAGACACCTTACTCATGGACATTTATTATCCTCTCCCCACTCTGCCGTTAAGGTCTGATATGAAGAAGAACAAATGCAAGATAATTAAGCTCTTTACAGAAGAAAAAACAGATCAAACGTAATTTTCTATGTCTTGAAAAGAATTGGAAATGTCTAGACAGAAGACAAGACAAGACAGAATTGGTCTTGAATATATTAATTTCAATAAGAAGTTGAACCCCTGAATTACAGGGAAGAGATTGAGGTCTGCTGCCCATCCGAACACTTTCCACAGCATTACCTTACCCTCCCTGTGACTCTGACATCCTTTATCCCGCCTGCGATATTTATATCCAACAGCAGGGGACCGTAATCTGGGTCACCAACAGCCTGGACAGCCACCGACAGCCCTCAGCAAGAGCTGCTGGAAAGGCAAGAAGCACTGCAGAGTCCCAGCTCCAGACCCCTCAGGAACTGGCTCTTACTGGGTGGCAAAAAAGAGAGGAATGGGAAAGGCTTTCATCTATTTGGGAACTCATAGTGCAAGCAGAGCCACCCCGAGGTCATGAGGGTTTGGGATGTTCTCTTCTTCCACCACGGGCACACAGGGGGCACAGAGGCTCCCTCTACTTCAGGAGAACCTGCACAACCTCAATAAGTGAGTTTGCGTGAGACATCCACCCCGGGGGCATCTGAGCTTCAAGTGCTAGTAAGGTTATTGCAGGCTGCAAGAACGTACTTCCGTCATTTAGACTGGTGACGTGACAGCGGAAAGGCAAGCAAGTCACGGCAAAACGGCCCACTTAGGCACCATCAGAGACCTGCTCATCCAGACACTGAGCTGGAGGAATAAAAGTTTCTCACCTCAGCAATCCTATGGGATTTCAGGAAAGAAAACTTGATATACAGACCTTCTGAAACATGCGCAGAAAACCCTAAGCAACCAAGCATGAGAAAACAAGCACAAGCAAGAGGAGGAGGCCCACTTGGACAGCCAGAACATAATCGGCAGTGCGTGAACCAAAACCCCCTTCCCTAGTGGAAAATCTCTCAAAAACAGTCTGGTCAGACCCAAAGTTTCCAGTTTGTAACAGCAGTGTTTCCCATTGGCAAGCCCTTCCCCAGGAAACCCCCTTCCCTTCCCACCCAGCCTGGGAGAAGGACCTTACCTGACACGCGTTGTACAGAAGCTGATGCTCAAATTTCTTGATCCCCAAAATGTTCTGGAACATCTCATAGAGCTGCTCCTTGCTGAGGATGAGCTCTGAGGCAGCGCTCGCCGTCATCCTGGCCTGCTGCTTGCGCGGATCCTCTTCCCCACGGTAAATAGCATCAAACTTTGCCATCCAAGAGCTCAGGACTGTCTCCTTGCTGAGGCCATCAATTTCTGGCAGGCTGCGCACTCTCTTCTCAATGTGCTTCTTGAAGACCTCCCGGGAGTCATTCGCTGAGCACCCTCCGCTTTGCACCATCCTAGCAACACGGTCGCTTTTCAGGAATACCTGCAAAAAAGGGGTGACTTCAAATGGTGTCAGTTAAAAAAAAAAAAATCCCCCTTAAGTACCACAAAACGCGGTTTCACTGCTGGGAAGCTCGCTAATTGGCTGCCGGTACACTTTCCAACTTCTCACTCAGCAACCACATGTTGCCAGATGGACAGAGGTTTCAGCTGTACTTTGGGAAGCGTAATGAAATCAGGTGAAGCTTCTGCTTTGTGTCCGCTGAAATGGAACATTTTGATGCAATTAGGACTTTATGCGATGTTGTGGTCACACCTCACCAGATACATAAATGCCCTTTGGGACAGCAGGATTATATTTTGCTCTATCAAACGTTTTAGTAAGTTATTGCACAACTACATTCACCTAGCCAAATTCTGCCTTGTTAGAGGGAGCCCTGACATCCTACTCAAGTCAGCAGCATTGCATTGCATTGATCCTGGTAGCCAGGCCCCTGGGAAATCTCTGACCAGTGCAAGGACCAGGCTTACATTAAGCTACTACACCAGAGGAGATCTTTGCAGACTGCCCTGCTGTCACAAGATGACAGGAATAGCATTGTGTTCATTAATTTAATGTTAACTTCAGTTAAGTAACATGTGTGTGTCCCCACTTCTCCCATACCCTGGTCTTCCCAACCTGGGCAACCAGCACTGCAAGAGCACCGTTAAAACGCCCTGGAAAAGGACAAGGATGAATGGCCTGATCTTTGCAAACTGATGGGTAAACACCAAGACAACTCAGATCACTAAAAGGTGGCATGGCCACAGGTGGATGAGGCCAAATCCCTTCCTGCTCCAGCTCTGCTGAAGTAGCACAGGATGGTTCAGCACGGCTTGAGGCTGCCTGGGAAGGCTTTGCAGAGCGAGCAGCCTGCAAGGTGCAGGACACTGACAGCAGGAGAGAGGGAGGAGGCATTTGATGAAGATGCTCTTCCCACTGCAAGAGCAGCAGAAGGGTCAAAACATATCAGACCCCTGCAGACCAGGAGACGCCATGGGAGCAACACAGAGCTGAAGGGTGACAGAGGGACAGGGGGATATTGTGTTGGCTCTCCTCTCTCAAGCCCTGAACACAGGAGAGCAATCGATGCCCAGCAAGAACTGCTGTTTTATTAATGATGCTGAGAACGGATGAATGCAGCAGGCTGGGAAGAAGCTGTGCCAGCACTGGGGTGTATCTGTCAGCTCTCAATAATTAAAGAGCTTGAGGATGACCTAAGGACATGGTACATTTTTTTTATACCCCTCAGCAACATGGCACTCCATGTTCCCAGATGCTTGATGGCACAAGCATCTGTAGGGAGTAGTAGTGGGTTTTGCTCCAGGACCAGCCCAGAAATGCTGCTGAGGAAAAGCTGGGCTGTTTCCTTCCAACATCACTGTGCTGGGGAGCACTCCCTGCAGAAGAGACAGGCAGGACGCCACCAGCAGCTTCTTCAGTCCATGCTGAAACGATAACCAGCACACATTTTGTTTCCTTCAAGAGCTTAAATACACACCCACAGCCTGGGTGTGTACAGGTGCTTTTAAGTTATAGGTGAGAGCTATCAAAATCCAAGCTGCCAGCACAGCCGAGGAAGTTCCCAGCAACACTGACTGCTGGAAACGGTGGGAGGTCATGGCAAATGGCCCTGCTGCGGCATCCTCAGCTCCCACATCCCCTCTCTAATCATCCGCTCCAGGCGCCTTTGGCCTGACCCTGTGCGACAGCGCTAATGACTTCCCATACCCACCAGCACCAGCGGCTATCGTTATCCATGGTCCTCACGCCCATTGGAGGGGTGACAGCACTGTGAGCAGAAGGACCTGACTCCCTGTCTCCCCTCAGCCCCAATTTTATCCTCCCTGGGTGCAGAGCAGCAGCCAGCAGAGGAAAGGAGTGCTGTGGCTGGCGGAGAGGAAGCAGGCACAGGGGAGTGCCAGTAAGACACAAAGCAGCAGAAAAAAAAAAGTGAAATAGTAAGATAAAAAAAAAGATAAAAGAAGTGTTTTGTCCTGCAGAGCGAGCTGCTTTCTTTAGAAAATACCAGGTGAATCGCCCAGCTGTAAGACTGCCTAGTAGGATTGCCAGGAGTCAAGAATTGCTGGAGCAAAATCCTAGTGTGGGTTTTGCCTAGTGGGTTTGCACCTAGTATGCCGGTGCATACACCGGCGCATGCAGAAGGGAACTGGTCTCTGTGAGCTGGGTCAGGCATCTCCTGCCACATCCACAGATGAGCCCCCCCCAGGTCACACGTGCTCCTGGCTCTATCTGCCCACAGCAGAGTGGAAATGGGTCTAACGAAGCATTTCCATAATACCCACTAAAGGGACTGCTGCATAAAGTGCTGGTTGACAGAAGCAGCTTTACTCATTAGAAGTAAAGTGGCATGAGAAAAGCTCTCCTGGAGCATCTATTAGAGTGCACTGGGCCTGTCTCGCACACATGGGTCT